TATCGGTTTTGATCGTATGGTCTTGTTGTGTATACGATATTACCTAGCTGCGTTTCATATCCGGTTGTACGGGACCTAACAATATATAAGTTCATACATTTGTTTCAGAGCAACATGAATTTAAAATGTTTTAGAGGAACTTGAGTTTGTCATTAGGCTTGCATTATTCTCGGTTCATTTGTCCAATTAAACCAATTCATCTCACAAATACAATAGTCTCCCATTAACCAATTCAAATTCTCTGCTTATCTTCTTCACCTGTTGAACAAAGACAAAAAAACCCAACAAATCCCAGTTAGGAAGATGAAGTTGTGTTGAGAGAGGAATTGGTTTATCAAAACTTCGATGCATTGCCACAAGATCACTTTTAAGCATGATTGATTGGTCATCTAAATTGTGTGTTCCTTTATGAAGATAAGAATTTTTAATCAGAATCAGAAATACGAGTTGTATTTGCAGAGTTTTGTAATAAAGATCTAAAAGGGTAATACTGAGAGTTTTTACCTGGTCCTCGATGATATATGTGCTCTAAGCTATGACAGCTTCAATGGAACCGTCTGGTTTTGGTCGGAAGTAACCAGTATCTGCGTGCATATGCTCTTTTGATTCCGATTCCCATGTCTTCAGAATATAAGCTATCACCAGCTAGACAACAACAACAGTTCCAAGCAAAGTCAATTTAGCTTTCGAATTCGATTCAATAAGTATCCTATTTTAGAAGATCYAATCCACGAAACGAAGGAGCGAGATCTGACTGTTTACCTTGCCGGAATGTGAGAAACAGAGCTCTTCGCGGTAGAGGAAGGAAGGTATGGTCGAATATTCACCTTCGCTTTGTCCTCTCCAAGTCCTTAAGAGAGAAGAAAACTTAGAATCTGATTTTTTAACTTGGTCTTTGTCTTCTCCCATGGATTTAAAATTGGTCGAAGACGAAGTCATGGCTACGGGTTCTGAGATCGGCGTTCGTAATGCTAGCGATTTCATTCTTCTTTGAGAGGTAAGATCTAGACCGAGAGTGATAGGTAAAGAGAAAATGGGATTTTTTTGTTTTCTTCAAATAACCTTTATTATCAAAGCAAAAAAATTATTTGGTACAATTTTCAAGCTTAATTTTTACTTGGGCGGGTACTAAAAATTTTAATTCCCGCTAAATCCTATGGTAGCGTTTTTTTTTTTGGTCGATCCTATGGTAGCGTTTTAGATTTGGTATATGTTATTATAGATTAATAACAAAACAAAACAAAAACACGAGACC